TGTTCCAACCAACTCGGCACATGTTCAAAAACCCTATGAGCCAACTGACAGTCAGTCCTACCTATGTAAATGTCACCACAACCGCAGGTGAACTAGTAAACGACGTGAAAGGCCGAAATGACTGATGAGTTGCTATGACGGTCATGAAGAACAAGGCTTCGCAATTATCGCCAAAAGGAATAGATAAGCTCAACACGCAGGCTCAGTTTGAGTATCTGTATGAACAGCCCAGTGACCATACGCCAAGATCAATGGAAGATGCAGGATGCGCGTGATAATGAAAGCAATCCGCAAACTGCAGTGTTCACTTGCAAAAGCTCCAAATGCTAATTTTCCTACTGAGTGCTTAAAGCACGTATACAATCTGACATCTGTTCAGTTCACGCGCACACAATTGGTAGTTCTCTCACTTGGACTGAAATACCGATTACCGCCAACAGAAATAGATAAGCTCAACACGCAGGCTCAGTTAGAGTATCTGTATGAACAGTCCAGTGACCATACGCCAAGATCAATGGAAGCTGCAGGTTGGTTCCGGGCAAAATTGGTAGATATTGCGGACCAATACTAGAACACGCCGATAAGCCAGAGATGCTGTCTGAAAGCTGAACACTATACGGCGATCAGTGAAAACAAATGGGACACACGATGTTTCTGCAGCCGGATAAGGGATCAGGCATTGTGATAATGAACCGACTTGACTGCATTGTAAAAACGGAATCTATTTTGGGTGATAGACGGAAGTTCCAGTTAGACAAGACACCAGAAAACAACATCTTGGTCGAGAAGCAAGTGGCAAGGAAACTGCAGATTCTCTTACTACATGGTTACATCAATGACTCGTAATGCAGGCGGTTGCAACCGACTGGCACTCAGACACCCAGAATGAGAGGCGCTCCCAAATTACACAAGGCAGGTAACCCACTGCGCCCGATTATGTGTATGAACAACTCACCGTATCACAACGTTGCGTGGTGGCTAGCGAAAATGATGGAGCCGGTACGCAAACTCCTGGCCACGTATTCCTAAAGGACTCCTTGGAACTGGTCGAGAAACTGGAACACTTGTTGCTGGGTGCGGAGCACATGTACGCAATTTAATTTTAAGATTTAAAGAAACCCACAAAGGTAATCAAAAGTCAATGTTTTCGATAATTCTTTATCAGGCTATTACAATTATATATCAAGTACATTGATTAGGCAGACTAGTAAGTCGTCGCAACGGGGTAAAATCAGTTTACGAAAGGTCAATTATCCCCAATAATCAGATCAATGTCGGAGTGTTCACACGATCCAACTGAGTAGAAATCACTACTCGATCGGGCCAGCGCAGTTGTACGGCCTGAACAAATCGCTTTTCAGTGCACAGCTTTGGTTCGTACAACCGGATTGCTATAGCTTCAGCGGCTTCCAGTATCTCACTGCGCATATACTTCCATCGATTATCCGAGACAGTGTAGATAATTTGGAATGCTTCGGTTGGCCTAGGGTTGTGGCTTGTGTCGGCAAGGTGGGCAGCTATGGCTGAGTTACATACCCTTCTGCATCCGGTCGCTAGCCATGCCGGACAGTGTTCTTTCATTCTCTCGGATAGACACCTAGTCGTCCGACCAATGTATCCTGAATCACAGGAACAGGTAAATCATAGTTGTTGTGGACAGGTCTACTATCCTTGAGACTAAGCTTCACCATCGGTCTGGTGGTAATGTAGGTATGTAATTTTGCTACTAGGAAGGTAGGTCTAAGCTCCTGTGATAAACGGCGAGTAAGAATTTCAGCAGCGATTTCCCCTTTGTAAGGGAGCTGCAAAAAATCGCTTTTCTGCTAGCTGTTAAAACAACCGGTGTGTTCATGCTCTTCTACATGTAAACTTTTATGAAGTTATCTGGATAACCATTTTCCTGCAGCGATGAGCCTGTTCGCTGTAGTTCAACTGCAAGTGTATCATGGGAGCAGATTCCTTCTGCTCTACTGACAAGATCATGAATTCAATTCCGTTTCAGCTTAGTTGGCAAGAAGCTGTGGAAGTTGGTGTACTGGCCGTTCCACGAGAGGCAAATTTGCAAATGCCTCAAGTAGCTACAAAATGAGGGTTATAACACTAAAGAGGTTTACAATTATGTGCATCCTGTGGGTACGGTTATTCCTAGGCTCTACGGTTTGCCCAAAACTCACAAGCCAAACGTCCCGCTGAGGCCGGTCTTGGATATGAAGCATTCACCTTATCACTCTACCGCACAGTGGCTAGTTGAGATACTTGAACTCATCCGAAAGCGGATAGCTTTGCATTTGTAGAGGCAGTAAAAGATGTAAACGCCTCGGGTCTAACCATGTGCTCTCTGGATGTCTCCTCATTGTTCACAAATGCACCGATATTTGAGACAATAAATTACATCTGCCAAAGTGTTGACGGGAGCGGGATTAACATTGGCATACCCACGGTGGCCTTGAAAGAACTGCGGTTTAGATGTCCGTTTAACGTTCAATTTGTGTTTAACGGGGAGATATACCGATGGTGAAGCTCAGTCTCAAGGATAGTAGGCCTGTCCACGACAACTCTATGTTTTACCTGTTCCTGTGGTTCAGGATACATTGGTCGTACGACTAGGTGTCTATCCGAGAGAATGAAAGAACACTGTCCGGCATGGCTAGCGACCGGATGCAAAAGGGTATGTAACAGGCATAGCTGCCCACCTTGCCGACACAGGCCACAACCCTAGGCCAGCCGAAGCATTCCAAATTATCTACACTGCCTCGGATAATCGACCGAAGTATATGCGCAGTGGGATACTGGAAGCCGCTGAAGCTATAGCAATCCGGTTGTACGAACCAAAGCTGTGCACTCAAAAGCGACTTGTTCAAGCCTTACAACCTCCGTGACCCGATCGAGTAGTGATTTCTACTCAATTGGATCGTGTGAAGACTCCAACATTGACCTGGTTATTGGCGATAATTGACCTTTCGTAAACTGATTTTACCCCGTTTTAACGACAGTAGTCTGTCTAATCGATGTAAATGATATATACTTGTACTAACCTGATGAAGACTTATAAGTTGTCCGGTGGCTTGACTACAAGGTTTTCGGGTATGATGTTGTTTTTGTTGGTTCACAACCAATTCGCTAATAGCACTGGTTCTAGTCAGCTGACGCTGGAGAGGACGTTGATGTGATCTACTTGGATTTCTCGAAACCATTCGACCGTTTTGATCATCGGACACACCTTTCCAAGCTACAGCGTCACGGGATCGGTGGCCCTCTTCTAAGCTGAATCGCCAACTATCTCCTCCAGCGGCAATTGGTGGTCAGAGTTCGGAGCTCCTCCTCTGACAAGTTGAATGTGGTGTGCCTTTAGGCTTGGTTCCGGATTGTTTTTGGTATTTATCAATGACCTCGCACAGGCAATTACATCTAACTTCCTGCTGTTTGTCGATGACGTCATAATTTGGCGCAGGGTTTGAGGAATGCTGACCAGCGACTGCTTCAGATTTATCTAAACAAGGTACATCAGTGATTCATCCCAAATTCACTGCCATTCAATGTGAGTAAATGGAAGGTGCTCTCCATACGACACCACAGCAACCAATGTTACAGGTTCAGAACGCATGTAATGCAGCGAGCTGCCACCAAACGTGATTTGGGCGTACTGGTTCAAGATGATCTGGGTTGTTCCAGGCAATTCGCGAAAGCCTCCAAAACTGATAACCAACAGGTGAGCATGTTACGACGGGCGTTTCAACAAATAGATCGTTCTATTTTCCGGCAGATATTTAATGTGTATGTTCGTCCTCATGTCGAATATGCAATTCAAGCCTGGCACCCATGGCTGTAATACGATGCTGGTGCATTGGAGCAACCCCAACGTCGAGCATCAAAGTACGTTATTGGAATGCACCATCTTCCATACGAGGAGAGGCTGGAACGATTGGGGATATTCAGCGGACGTTACCGCCGCTTACAAGGTGACTTGATAATGGTGTACTTAATTCTGCACGATCCACATCATGTGTGCCGCTGTTTACTGCAACTCAGCAATAACACCAGCTTGAGAGGTCACTCACCGAAACTGGCAGAACAGTACAGCCGCCTGGATTGTCGCAGGAATTCCATTTCCTTCCGCGTGTTTCACCCGTGGAACGCTCTTCCAGGATCGGTCATTACTGCACCATCACTATTCATATATAAAAGAGGTTTGGATGACAACCTTACTCACTTACACGTTGTTACCTAGTACTGCATCTCCATCCCACTGCTGGAATATATTTTGGATTTATTTGCTGTTACATGTTTCTGCTGTCAAACTACACGGGTCGCAAGAGGACAGTACAATAAACGATAAGTCCCTCATTTAAACGTAAATAATCCACTGCTTTTTTTTTTTTCAACGGGACATGCGAAGCATTGCTTCTTAACCCGTATAAATTCACTGTTCATTGCTCAAGGAATGATAACGGCGGGGAATTCTCCAGTGTTCAAGATGTGGGCATAAGAATGGATCACACGTCCGTCTGCGACATCGCTTCAGCAACAGAAAAATAATGTGTCAGCTGTACGTCGTAACGGCGCTTCGCTGCCACGCACGGGCTGAGTATACCGCGAGGACGCCTACCCCTACGCGGATTCGAACAGTTGACCTTATGATTGCAAGCCAGGCGCGCAAACAACTCGGCCACCAGTCTCGTTGAATCTGAGCTCGGAACGAACTGTTTTCCAGCTATCACTGGCATTCTGTACATCACAAGCTTTTGTCAACTAAAGTCCTCGTACAATTGAAGCTTTCAGTGAATTGAAAATTAACCCACTGTTCGAATACATCATCCCATGCACACACACACACACACAGAGCCGCCAAGTTATGTTCCGCATTCGGACGGGTGCGATCCACCCGATCGATTGACAGACGGTGCGTGATGACCCCCCCCTCCGCCCCGGCGAAAGAGCATTAGCGCTACAAGCAGTGCACTCTCCAGCGGCAGCTATTTCGAACTGATGGTCACAGCAAGGAAGAATAAACAGGGAGCGATGTATCACTAGGGTGATAATATACATGATACACTCAGTAAATGTCCTATATCATACGTTCATTCCGATTGGATTTGCAATATGAGTAGTAAAGACAAGTAGGAATAGGGACATAAACGTGGGAAAAAGAAAGAAAACAAACAAATGGGCGATAGACTAGATGAACGAGTTGAGAAGAGTGGATATCGAAGAACTGATGCACGCAAACAGAAGGCTGGTGGATGTGTGTGTGTGCGTGTGCTGATGGAGAGTGAATGCGCTGTGCCTGCTATCAACGCAATGATGGAAAACAATGCATCAGTAATCTCGCTTCGGGAGAGAGAGAAATGACACCGTTTACGAAGTTGCTAGGTAGCACGTTCATTAGTAGTGGCCAATTGATGAAGATGCCTTCAAACAGGCGATCGATTGCTTGCATAACCATGGGGATTGTCATCCGTGAGTGATGGGTTCGGATCCGAGCATTCAGTGGGGGATTATTCAGCACTGGAGTCTGAATTCGATGGACCGCGATGATATTGGACCTAGAAAAGAACGAAGAGAAACAGGTAGAAGGAGAGTACTCCAGAATCGAGTGACTATAGTATGGTCCATTTGTTTGTAAGTTAGCACTCAGGGGGACTAGGATTCATACACACAGTGCATTCGGCAACTGTACTTGTCTTCGATTGGCGAAAGAATAAGATTCGGGCCAGACTACTCCCCAGCAATGATTATGGCAGAGGTTGAAAGTTTGCTTTGTCTGAGAGCGTCCATTGAGTCTGGACCATGACTTAGTCATCGAGGCTCCATGTGAAGGCGTTGAGAGCGAGCGACACATGAGACGCGTCATTCTTTTGAAAACAGTCCGAACGATTAGAATGGCCAGATTTCAGTTCAAAGTAGATTACCGTATATTACTACTCGCAAACACTTAAGACAAAAAATGAAGGTTAAGTTATTCCAGCAATGCAAACGCCGGCGATCGATGTATTGACCAAATTACTCGTCCGAGTCATCGGAACTCAATCGAGTGGCGATCACGTGTGGCATTTCAACCACAAACGGCTCGTGCGTGTCACTTGGCTTAGTATCAGAGAGCAAGCGAAACCAATGGAGAATGCTCTTCTGATGAACAAGTCGTAGGTACGAAGCAAGTATTGCGGAAGGAATTAGTGAAACACTGAAGAGTATGAGAATAGGAATGACCACGAGTAGGCCGAATGAAAGTAAGAACGAATTACTCAATTATGGTGCACCACGAAAACATATGTAAAAGAGGGAAATGAGATGTAGCACATCACAGCTCGTCGCTTTCACATTAAATAGTCAACAGTGCATTCAAGACATGTGCCGCCCGATGGTCGGTTGGAGATTTGCAAAAAGCAAACCACGAACAACCTAAATTTTGCCTACAAGAATCGTTCAGTCAACACGATGCAATCAGAAAAACTGCTGCCCTTAGCTCTCATTGGAAAGTAAAGATGAGCTTCCGCGTTTTGGCTTTCCATTGTTCGTGTGAGGCGGGATAAAGAAACAAACGTACTGTCCGCACGGTCTTCGAATATGGTCATTGTAGGAGCATACTCCGGGAGGATACCTCATGTGTGGTATACATGGGTGAACGTAGTTTCCGGAGGCATTATAAACGGCTGTATTTCTCTTTCAGATTGAGATGGTAGCCTCGCAGGTACGTTGGATGTGAAGAGTTGCGACCAAACTGTGCGCAGCTGAGGAATTTCGATTAGGGACGAAACAGTCGCCGATAGTCTTCGTGGGTATGACGGATTCGGGGTTACACGCGATACGCGCCTACTGGGCTCCTCTTACGGCGGCGATAGCGATCAGAAAGTATACTTATTTGCTGAGCATGCTGTTTCCAAAAGATGTTTCCGTTTGACAAAATGCAGTCGTCGTAACTCAGCTGCGGGACCCAGAGCGCTACAACATGCATTTACGATTCGTTACCTCGATCCTACTGCATAGCTCCTGGTCAGAGCGCCTGCATAAAAATGTCCGCGAAATTGCATCTAGTCACACAAACCCGATTGAGCGACAGTAAGCATGTCACCGGTGCCAAACACCAGCAGAATCGGTCGTGTAGTCCTCAGTCTGGGAGGCGAGACAGACCGACGGTACTCGGTTTGTTCGTCGGCGACTTCACTGCCTATCACTAGGTCAACGATTGTGTCGGATGAATTCGAGTGGGTCAGTCAGCAACCGGTGTGCTTAATATGGACAGAAAAATGATGAATGAGTTTTCTAATCATAAAAGTTTAAATGATAGGCTTGTCAGAAGTTGCCCTTGTAATAAACAGCAACCCAAAAGAACAGTTTCCGTGTTACACTTTGAGCTCATTAAAGAAGCCAGATCAGCCACAAGTAACGCAGCACTTTGGGGCAGTTTCATCAGATCCAGATGTCTCGGTTCAATATAACAACGCAAAACCGCTTCGTCGGTGGAAGCCACTACCTCAAGGTATAAAAAGAGATGCCATTTCGTAAAGCAACAGCAAGCCGCCAGCAATCAACCCAGAAAATTATCGCAAAACAGAAATGTAGACGAGTCTATGGAAAGATCAGTTGTCGCTGAACGCATTTACGTCCTTGAAATAGTGCTGGTCAGTTCAGTTAAACGACTGGCATCCGAGTTGCGGTAGATCCACCTGTTACGAATCACATCCTCAGGAAAACAAACACAATAGGTGTTGCGGGCCCGTCAAAAATCCCCGCAAAAACACGCCAGAAACTCCGACAGAATGGCTGTGGGAAGCAAGGTACAATTCCTCACCACAACGCAGCAGAGCTCAGCCACTCCGAGACGCGGCCTAAACTGCGCACCTTCTGACAATGGTCATTTGCAAACTACCACCTCTTCGTGGTGACTGTTTTCCATAACTTAATAACCCATAGCACTGACTGTGATCGCCCTTTGTCGGTCGTAAAAGAGCCTACAGAGGACCACTTGTCTTTTCTTTCTCTTCGCCTCAGTTGGGAGTCGGTCGGGTCACGTGATTGCGTGTGAGTCGTTTGCTGGCCAGCCTTCGCGTCTAAGTCATTAGCGCGCGTCTACCGTAAACCCCCCTCTCGTGTGCGTCCCCCTCGTCCGCGTCCGTTCCGAGGGCTCCGCGTCTATTCGAACACTTGCGGCTAGGATCGTCACACGCTCGCTCAATTTTCCGTCTCACCGGCTAAGCTAGCGTCATCAGGTCAGCGCAACTCCGTTCGAGTGGCCAGCGTTACAAGTCGTCATCGTAGGCGTACTCCAACCGTGCGAGCGACAATCTTATCAGGCAATTACGCAATCATCTCAAGAGGCGGCGTTCCCTCAATTATAACAGTGCAACGCAATTTATAACAATAGGTTTAATAATACTGAAAAATAGGATTAAGAAAGGAGTAAAATTAATCTAGATGAGATGTTGACAACTAGACGCACAAGACCGAATGCGGCAGCAGCACCGACTGCTTTACTGCGCGCTGTGTCCGATGGAGTATCTAACAACCATTGATGTGGTAGCCATGGTTCACGGGAAGGATGTTACCGCCTTGTTCTCCTTAATCGAGATCAGCTTGGCGAAACAAACCATGACGCGCCTGCTAGAGGAGCACACATCGTCTGATACAAGCAGTAAACTCGACGCCAAACAGATGATGGAGTTATTAGAATTCTGTCTAACACATTTCACTTTTAATGGTCAAATTTCCGAACAGATAAGAGGCACACAAATGGGATCGCCGATCTCTGGTCTGGTAGCCGAGAAAGTGATACAGGCGCTAGAACAAAATAGCACTTCTGATTGCGAGACCAAAATTTTGGGTACGATACGTGGACGACATCTTCGTCGTCCTCGAACATTACAAATTGGAGAAAACACATGAACTAATCAACAGTGTGTTCGATGGAATCCAATTCATCAGGGAGAACAACGAGCAGTTACCATTCTTAGACGTTCTAATACGACGGACTGGTGCTGAACGACGGGAAACAACAGTCTACCAAAAATCTACGCATACGGATCAGATCCTCAACTACGGCAACAATCATCCGGTAGCCCACAAACGTAGCTGCGTGTGAACCCTTTTCAAATGAGCACAAACCCATTGTACCACACCGCAGCTAAGATGGGCAGAAGACCATCGATCTGTCCAAGCGGAACTCGTACCCAAAAGGCTTCAATACTACGCTGCCTCGCACCACAAAAGGCTGCTCAACACACCTCGACAAATACAACAGCTGAAAAGAGAGCAACTTTGCCCTACATCAAAGGAATGTCTGAAATGGCAGCGAGGCTTTTATTGCCTTTTGGAGTCAAAGTTGCACACCGGCCAAGGATAACAATTCGCAGTATAATCTTCAAAGTGAAAGATAAACTTAGCAAACAGGAAGAAACTGGTGTGATTTATAAGATCTGCTGCCGGAACTGCGACAAATACTACGTGGGACAAACTGGAAGAAAGCTTGGCACAAAACTACACAAACAGCCTAGCTATTCATCGCCACGAACAGAACTCGCTGATGTCAGTGCATATGGATGCCGAGAACCAACAATTCGACCTAGAGCAAGCCAGTATCCTAGGAAGGGTTAAAAGCCTGCAAGCACGTGAGTTCATTGAAGCCTGGCATTCAAAGCAGAACTCGATTACTTAGCACTTGGACATTGAATTTGCTTACGAGGCACTGCGAACCAGGCCTCTGAAGCCGCACTGATGATGTTGTCACGTCAAGCAACGAAACGTCTACACAATAATCACTGAGCTCGGAGAACAGCTCAAAATCCGCATCAGTCTGATTAAGTCACTCAATCTATTTTTGCATACCCGTCGTCGTCGAATGGGGGTGCCCAGCGGCTTCGCCTCATTATATGCAGCGACAACACAGAATATGTGCCCGGGAGAATAAAACCACCTATGATTATTTTGACTATTTGGCACAGAGTGGGAACCGCCGTTTACATTATCATGAAAAATGGCCTAAAACATCGAAAAACGGAAATCCTGTTTCGTCATCTGCAGTCAGCCAAGCAAGACACATACCTCAGGTGGTTCGACCGTTACCCGGATTCCGCACAGTTGAGGTTGCCCCATATGGTCCACTGCCGAGGCGTCAATTTGCAGAGATGGAAAAAACCCCGTGTGCATCGAGCGGGGAGTATGCGATTGCGGATCGAAAGACTGAGGTGTGGGTGTGGAGTCGGTTGGCGAAGAGAACCGCCGCGCTGCACGATTTGGATGGTAAGATAATAGTTTCTCATTCTCCATTCCAGTGGTCCAAGCGTTTAAAAAACGTGTGTCATGGGAAGATTCACAGACTGGCTTGCATAAACGAGCTGGTGAGCACGAGGTAGGTTTGAGAAGTTTGACTGCGCGTTCGGAGCGGCACATTGGACATAGCGGACTGTACGGGACCGCAGTTTCACGCGGCAGTTGCCCCATTTTGTTCGAGTCGGATACGAGCAATTCGGACGGTACGGAGTCCGTGACCGATGCGTGTTTGTCTCGCGTTGCTTCCTGATAGGAGGGCGGCGCATCCACATCGACGGTAAGGCTAATGGAAGGGCACGGTTCCGTTCCAGGTGGCTTGCTGCGACTGCTCCAGGAAAGATGCGGGAAGCACATGAGACCGCGGATTACTTCGAATTTCGAGGAGACCATAGGAGCCGTCGACTGGGTTCCTGGTGCATTGGACTTCCTGAGAGAGGGATTTGCGCGAAAAACCCATAAGTTTTATAGAAACAGCAACATCTTCCATGTGTTCACTATACCTAACAAAATCATGCTGCTTAAATCCGATTTCACATCTGCCCACTCAATGTAGTATAACGCCTTGTTCGCATACGGCTCCGTTAATAAGAGAAAATTCCAAGACTAACCCAATGGAATGAATACAGTGAGTCGAAGTATGTAGGAAAACGTTGGCGCGACAGCCCGGAAAGTTTCCGAAGATGAGTTAGTGTCTGCATTTGTCAAAGCCAGAAGAGTATTATTGAAACATAGTGGTCTTACTCAACCGCAGCCCTATTTATTTAACGTAAATTGCATATTACTAGTTAGAGGAGCAAATAAGGTAGGCAATGATGTATACGCCGACGAATAGGTCGACAGAAGCACCCAAATGAGAGCAAAAACAGATAACAACTCATTGGACACTGTATTGCGTCATACAACAGTTATGTGGGAAGTTGAAACTTAGAGCGGTGGAAAGCGAGTGACTTCGTGGAGGCTAATTACCGGAGTAGTAGATTTTTTGGTTCATCAATTGTAACTACCAAATTATTGAAGGAATTGCTAAATGTTGATGAAGGAATTGTTTAACGCCCAAGGAATCAATGAGAAGGCGGAGTTTACCATCAGATGTATGCGCACTGAAAACGAAATGTGATTCAGTGAATGATTTGGTGATTTAAGCTTATAAAGAGTGTTAAGATTTCATAGACTGTCTGGAGTAGTCTACAGACGCTGCTGTCGTTGCTTCCACTGACGCTGTGACTGGTGTTACCATTACCATTGGGACTGGTTTTGTCACGTATGTGTGTTAACCAACAAACGTTGAACGACGAGAAATTGTCCAGAGTTGCTGTTTATAATATCATGAGTTTCACATGATGCACGAAGGGTGTATTCGGTCCCCATTTGACAACTAATCGAATCAGGGGCCTATGAATTGAAAAATCGGTCGCCAACTCACAATAGGTGCGATCCCTTTGACTTCGTTCCGCTATCGTGCGGGTAGGCTGTTCAGCCGAGGCCTCGGGGTAGTGTACACTCGCTACTTCGATTTGGACAATCGGGTACCACCAGACCCTATGAAAAAACCATAGATCACTGTGCTGTGATCAGTTTTATTCTTATGATGATGTGTTTTCCTTTGATTTTCATAGTTTTGGTGACTCCAGGTCTAATTGTGGACTGTTGAAAAAATATGCATTGCAACTGTTTAGCGCGAATCTTGCTCCACATTCTACGTGGCGTGCCAGCTACTGTTGGTACAATCGTCAAATTTTTCTTTTGTAATGATTCAAGTTGCGCTACGCTAAACACTGCATCTTGCATTTATGCCGTAAAGAAAAGTTCGATTACCATTGATGATTTTTCAGAGTGGAACTAGCGTTCTAGGAATACACAAGAAGTAAGGGGACTCTCATCACGTACCATAGACGTTCCAAAAGGATATATATATATATATATATATATATATATATATATATATATAGCCATCAGAAACCATGAAACTCAAAAGAAGGTACAGAAATGGTAAAAGAAAACACAACAAAACACATCAAAGTCCTTGGTTTCGTCAGAGGGCGAGATACTACCCGGTTGCCCAAGCCGAAGTAGGGTATTGACTTAGGGGAAAACACCCCGAGCCTTTGGCTGAACAACTTACCCGCAAGGCAGCGGAGCGAATTCAGGAAATCGCGCCAGTTGCGAGCCGGCGACTGATTGCTCAGCCCATACGCCTTTCGTTTGTTCCTTTGTCAAACAGAGGCCCAATGCTCCCTAGAATTACAGCATAAATTTGCTGGAATACAATGATTCGCCAGGATGAAGCAAGGGGCAATGACTTTATTTAGTGACGAGTCACGTCCGCCACGTCACAGTGTTGTTAAACGGACGTATGTAGATTTTTATAGGGAGAACGCTTGCCAGGTGATTTACGTCCGGTCGATCTGGAAACATCACAGCTGCGAACAGGTCAAGAATAAACCTGGTCAACTGAGATAACTATTGAAACACGAGAGCAGCCGTAGGATATTGAGGCGATGCTGTTTTTTTATCTTGTGTGGTGCTGAATTACTGAGAGCGATTCATCAACCCATCTGAGCCTCTGGTTGCATATACTTTCTGGGGCCTGGTGCTTCATCTCTACCATGTGTGAGCACGAGTAATGACAGGGAGTAATGATCGTTTCCTGAACACAGTGGGACTTCCTTCACACAACCCTACGGTCGCAGTATGAGTAACGAAATCTGAGTGTATCGCTGTGGACGACATATCAACAAACGTATTCTTTACAGCATACACACTTTTGTGCCTGATGCTCTAAGTTCAAAAGAATTGATTATCCACTCGCTCTTCCATGTTTGATTGAGCTAAATGGGTACCTTACTGACCTAAGGATGTTATGGAAGATATGTGCACTTGTACTGCGTAGGATACGCGAGCATCCTGAAGGAATGTTTACTAGTGACCTTTCGGTAATTGATCAAGTGACAACTGCCGCGCTACGCTTCTCATGGAGTAGGATAATCACTACCTGATCTTAACATGATCACACGTTTCCCGTAAAATTCTGATGGTAATAAGGAGAAATCCGTTCACCAAAAGCATAACGGCTAGTTTCCATTGATAGGCGGCCATTACCAAGACATATAGTTGTAGGGTGCGTCAGTAACGGTCTCTCAGGTACATGGATTTTCTGACTAGTTGAGAACGTGAAGCGTTCGCGCATATGTCATTTAAAAGCAACATGACTCACCGTTTGTGGCGATTGCTGGGACAACCGGAAATATATGTACGACCTCGAATGAAATAAGGATGAGATTTCAATCGCATTCGTTTGGATTGGAATCTTGACACTGTCCGTCGGGCAGTGAAGGAATGCGAGCCCAATTGTCGTTTCCCGGTGGGCGAAACTGTTGCCAACGATCGCTGTGATTTTGCACGCTGAGTAACGTGCGACCCTGTGCCGAAAGGGGAGTGTTGTACGTGATGCAACACGACCAGACTGGGTTCGCTGCTTCCATCGGTAGAAGATGTTGGGCTGGTGTTGTGGATGGTCAACACAGGCGAGAGGGCTGGTAGACGCTCGTTAGAAATGTACAAACGTTTGCTGAAGTGGTCAGAAAATTAAAATCGTAAATATGTGCAACACAACACAAATGCAGCATAGTTATTTTCGTTAATGAGTATTGTGGAAGTTAAAAATATCTCATAAATCCGCGAATTCTGGGAGGTGATGGTAAAACTGTAGTTAAATCAAAGGAGTAAAATTTGACAACGTATGTTGATTTCGGCAATGCAACGCAAGCCGACTTCGAACTTACGACCAAGACTCAGTTTTGCGTAATTAATGTAGGATAGTATAAGGCTCAATGAGACGAGTCGTTGGTCATTATATATGGAATGGATGGAAGAAGAGGAGGGAGGTGGCCAAGCGATGACTTGGTCCAGAGGAGTGAAGTCCCTCACTTCGGAGCTAGCCTCGGTTGGAGCTTCACGGCTCCCTGGTTGGGGTCCAAAAGACGGTGAACACGTTTGGCTGGATATGCTTGCTGACATGGCAAAGAGCCGACGTCAGTGGTGTTCCTGCTGCGAGTTGCTTTGTCCATTCCCACCCCTTTTAGCCTCCCCCTCCACGTACGATCTCATTTCGTAGCGTGAAACATAATAATTTTTCTTTTTGTCTAGGGTCCGGCTGGTAGCTTACCGGAACGATTCATATCTGTTGCTGGTAGCTCCGGTATCATGCAACCGTTGTATTTATTCTCTTTTTCTTTTATGTATTGCGGCACAGTAGCTGAGGTGTTGTATACCTCTAGCTAACGTGCATAATGATGATGATGAATCAAGAATCCTAAGTGAGGCGAAGGAATCTAAGGGCACCACTGACGTTAGGACCACACCATACCCGATAACGTATCCACCACTCACTGATGTGGTCGATGATCTCGAGGGCCTGATCTAAAAAAGGGGAAACTCGATCAAACTAAGCAGCAACTCCGGTGAGTTTCCTCATATCAAATCATGCCATATCATTTAGTGCACCTCGGAGTTCCATTCCAATAGACTGCCTGAAGGTAGCATGTGACGACCTGATTAATGAATATGGTATGGTTTTTGTGGGGCAATTATAAGTGCAACACAGAATGGCAATACATAGAATCTACCAGCCATCGGTGATGGTTACGGCTGTTTAGGTGCTCAATTGCAGTAACCCTCAAACTACATAAGTAGATAAGTGATATATTTCTTGACTGTGCGAGATACGGTCCAACTAGATGGCCTGATCGATAGGTACAAGAGGATCACAAAGGACAGATATTTGTTTCAGTTTTGCCAAGCAGTTATCGGATACGTTTTCGGGGTGTTGGATTAAACAAATATGTCAGAAAGACGGAGAAGTTGAAAGCAGGATGAAAATCATTATTGAAAGATGATCACGGCTATCCGTAGCACCGTAGGGAAATATGTAGGATGAGTCGCAATACCAGAGAGAAGGGGTTGCCAGCTATAGAACTCCTTAGAAAACAGTGGCGAGATATACTGGTCGATTGCTCCCTAATGATTCAACGGTGAAGAATTGATTGGCTTAAGGCAGATAAAGCATACAAGAGACAGTACTGAAGTTTCGCGGCTCCTTACAATGCCTCGCATAATGCAAGATTACTAAGTCGGAAAGTAAAAATAATAAATAATGTGTAAGCTGTATGCCGAAACGGCGCTTCACTGCCGTGCGACCACCGCCAGTCGCACGAGGGCTGAGTACACCGTGAAGACGCTCACCCTTATGCGGATTCGCATCCGTGCCGCAAGATCACGAGACAAGCTGTCCAAACAAAGCGCTAAAGAGTATAGGAAAAGCAGAGATGGCTGTGTCCGAATGATGCAGCAAAAGCACTGCCCTGAAGGGGAAAACAAAACGATAATTACGCATGAGCGCAGTATATTTTGGAGCAAGCAAAGCCAAAGAATGAAGTCTCAGTGACCGGAATAGCCAAAGTTTACTTAAATGAGAAGTGTGGCCAAAGCCGAGATTAGCTACCATAAGCCAAACATGCGACGGATACTCAAAGACCCGAAAGCAAACGATGAAGCAACTGGCGAAACCCACAACACGGTAAAGAGGAAGAGCGGCGAACGCGAAACTGAAACGAGCTGATGAACGGAAAGGCAAAGAATGCAAGGATATTAGAAGTTGAGGCTCACTAAAGTGCGCAATGTATGAAGAAGTATTTGGATGTGATTCAGAAAATGTGAGATGATCAGCATATTAGACAAGCTCCAGCGGGCAGTGCATCATCACGCAACACCCGCGCGTAAGCTACCTGATTTGAGATGCTGCTCGAAAAACAAAGCATACAAATGTTGAAACTGGAGGGAGGGAGTCTTAGGTTGCTCGAAATGAAAATATTGATGTTATAGAGGATACACAGGGTAGAAACTTGTATGCTTACCAACAGTGCTCTAGCTGGGTCGAAAGCGACGCTTGTGAACGGAAAGACGGTGCAGTGTGCCTGCAATCTGTTGTCACGTCTGGAGTTTGTTGAAGGCCAACCCCGCCCACATCCTTAAAAACAAGAATGGACAATTGGACATGCAAGGTGACAACCTTCTCAAGGATGAGTGGATAAAAGTAACAAGCGCGGAAACTCTTAAGACATTTTAGGATGTTTTGTAAATGGCAAAATTATCAGACGAGCTAAAGGTCGGATAACGGATTTTGCTTCAAATGAACTGTTGTAGTAATACGCGTCAACAGTGGCTCGGTGGTGCAAGAGTGAGGTCGGTAGCCTCTACGTCCAGGGTTCGAGTCAAAATTCTGCTATTTATGCCTGATGAGCGCAGAAATGCACGAAAGCTGTCGTGGAGTTCAGTGTTGCCAGTGTACGATACATAATATTTTTGTTGAGGTGAAATAACATTTAAGATATTCGGTGGAAAGTTTTTAGGTTCGAGGTAAGTGGTCCAATGAAAACGGTCCATACTATGTGGAAGATCAGATATGAATTATGCCCAACAGTGTAGCCGATTCGCGGAGGTGGCTAGTGTGGACATGAGTCCAGGTATGCACCAGTCTCCTTATGGTCTTGTGTCGAATTATTGTCCGGAGCTTCAGAGGACTTAAGCTGAATGACAGACAAAGGATGTGATCTGACCTCCAAGGGTGGTTGGTTCCGGTTCGACGACATAAGTTGTCAACTCCAATTCAAAAAGTATGAACCACTTGGACAGGACTGAATAAGTGCCAACTATCAACGATATAATGGACAGAACAAGCAAGAAAATACCATGCCACAAGTTCTAACGAATTTATTGAGACTAACCAACACACATCCGTCCATTTTGGACCAGTGAACCGTAACTTTTGCCTCGTGTTGGCCAGGTGACCTGGCGTCTGACAGTGGGGCGGCTGCTTCAGAGGTGCACGAATTCTGCTCGGCGGGCATAGAGGAAATCGGACGGGCACCGAATTGCATTCGAGTTGGGGCCCTTGTTTTACAGCAGGGCGCGAATTGTAAGCACAATAGGCGAAGATTGCATTGGGTTGGACGCGAAGGAAACTGACGCTTTGGCGTTGAACGGTTGGGCACAAAACCCATGCATGCAGAGGAACGACGGCAAGATTCCACATCGGTCATGTGGTGTTCCAGTGCCTTGCGATGTGACTCGTACGAGCGCCACTGGGCCAATTGAAGTATGTTTGGTAGCAAGGAGACACCGAGCAAGGAAGCGTGTCGACCGCACAGTCGATCATCGGATGAGATGTCGTAGTTTCGTGCAAAGGAACAAGAGGAAGCACAAGAAGAGTCACAACAATCAGGGCATACTGGAAGGTGGTGTTCCGACTTTCGGATGAAGAAGCAGAAGCGACATAGCCATAAAATGTGAGACAAAGATGTCCACCGCCCGGGCGAGAATAACGACGGTCGAGCGGAATCGGTGATAAGACTCTCTTCTTGTTGTTTCGAATCGAACACGGCATTTGATACCGAGTATCCAAAGCGATGGTCGTCGATTGAATGAGCACAGCCTGCTGTGCACAGCCTAGGGTGCGGGTGATCGCAGTGGTGAGCACAGCGGTGGACTGACTGCATCTGGTATGACGCCATCCGTATGGACCGATGTCCCCATCGAGTCCAAGAGACGGGACCACCGCTAGCCGGATGACCAAAGCGATCGGTGGCAGATGACGCCGAGGAGCTGTGCTCGCTGCTCAGTCGCATAGAGTCGGAATTGTCTGACACACGCAGTCGATCCACTGGAACGCCACATGACTTGAGGATATCAAGCTTGCACAAAGGACAACTGTATTGTTCCAACAACCATGGGTCGATGCACCTTTTGTGATAAACATGCCTGAAAGGAAGGAAAGGAATAGTGGACAAACATATCTGGACATCGGAATGATAAGGGTTGCAAAGCTATGCGATCGAACAAGCAGTTTTAGGAAAATCTGGGATTCATAAATATGTATAGGGCGCAGTATAGTGATAAGGTTTGCCTCATGCTGAAGCTGATGTTGCATCCATGATGCTTCTTCACCGTAGTTGGGCTAGACCAACTTACACTTAAACTAAGTCTTTTTAAGCTTCATAAATTTCGTTCCACTTTATTTGGTTTGCTCTATCTTCTATTAAATTGTACAAGTTGCTTACTCAATTGTGGTTATCTTCGTTAACTTTATGTGTTTGCAGCATTTTTGAGTAACTTCTGGACAGTTTGTACTTATCGCGGATTCGTTGCTAACCAACTTACTTCATATGCTAATTTAGCGAAGAGTTATGTCGGCACAGCCGTATGCTTTAATAGATATATTTTATTTGATAACGTCATTTCAAGTGATTGACTGTTGTTTGACATCCCCGGTGTGGCTGCGCTTGATGTGCATGTTGACAAGGTGAATACCTGTCTATTTCCCACTACCCCGTCCATAACGGCTCCAGGAGACAGTTAGATGTGCGTGTTAACAAGGTGCCTACCTGTCTATTACCCAATATTCCGTCCATACTGGCTCCAGGAGACAGTTGGTCGTTGCTGGAGGGGACGAGGAGCACGGTCCTTGCGGCCGTGTTAGGATCAGAGTGGTTCCATGCACTCAGTGTGGAGCGGACCACGGTCTAGCCACCGCCTTGTGTGTGCTTGATTCCCCAAATACAGCGTGCTTGTGTTTGCCTGTGAAGGAGTGTGGGCCGGCTCCGTTGATGAAACGTGGCTCCCATCCACATGCCTCCCGGTCTTATTCATTCGGGTTTACACTGGATATGAGATATGTGGGTGGTGCAGCGCAAGGCACCCATGGTCCCTCTGTAGGCGCAGGCGTCCTGTGGCTGGCCACAGTGACAGGCAAATCCGAAATCGGATGCCGCCAACCATAGTGATAAGGTATACAGGGTTAGTTAGAGCTCGGCAGCTGACCAGTGCCATTTGGGGATTCCGCACAGATTGTATGTGCAGATTGCGACATGAAATTGTAGATGTAATCACGGTTTAATTTGAAGTGAACCCTGTTCTAAACGGGTAGGGAAAAGTACATCAGCAGTGCGCTGAACAAACTCTTTGCTGACACGTGACTTACCGGTCCAATGCGGGCCACAGATACTACTGCTAGGTTGACTTAATCCGGCAACCTCTGGATTACAAGCCAGACGTCTTATCCACTGCCACTGGCCGACCCACCCCGGACATTGGGACCGCATCTGAGGTGGAAATGTCCCAAGTGCTGCATGTTCACAATTCGGCATTTCACGATCAAATCAGTCGATCAATGACCATGACGGTATCAAGATGGGATGAAACAAGTCATAGTAACTCGGTTCCGATACGAAACCAAAAGGTCACATGCAGTAGGGGAAAAAATAAGAAGGAACAAATTGTCAACAGAGACACAAAAAGAAGCCCGAGGACGAGAGTGATTCTAGATTTCTGGCTGCACTGTATGGAATAAGGTTCCTAGCCACTAATACAGCCTCGTCCAAGAAGCTAACACTTCGGTGGATCTCTCCACACTCCTGTGCCGTTGCGTCCACTAGCCACCTGGAAAACGCGCTTGGCTAGGTGCAGATATTAGCTAATTGCAGATGCCAAAGAAGCCAGTTGGCAGGCATGTGCACGATGAGGCCTAGTTAGCGCAGGCGGCCCGAATTCCAGAGACGGTGCAGTACAGGTCCAATCCTACGACCAAACAATATCTGGTAGATCTTCTCATGCAGGAATGCGGGGTCAAACACGGTCACTACCTTAATCCCCTTAATATGAAGTTATTGTCCCTTATCCGGTGTGGAACCGTACACGCTCCAAAGATGACTGAGGTTTATAATAGCAACGTAAGTTTTACGGATGCCAACTGTAACTTTTTCTTGGTGGCGAACCGGTATCTGCGCGGTGAGTCCCGTAGACATGTCGAGTGTCACGCATCAGTACGGTGAAGGTGCGAAGCGCATGTCAAATGCATCATATGTCATCCGCAAACTCTAATTTCGTCGATGGAGCATCTGGTAGAATTTACACCCCTACAGGTAGCCAGGACGGTGTTGTTCATCACAGTTAAGCCATAAGCATGTTTAGCTCAGGGGACAACCTTCCTTGGACGCGGACAGGGCTTAGTGAGTCAGAGTAGGAAGACGAGTGTGTTTCTCTAGGTAGTTCCACAAATACGGAAATCGCCACAGGATGGTGCGCTCAATAGGACAGTGTTTGGTGATCTGCAGCTCTTTGTGAAATGTAGGAAAACGACGATTAACGCATCAGATGCTGCGATAAAGCCAATCTGGCTCTCGCCTCATCTAAACGACAAGGATCCGAGCACGGAAGCGCGTTGGATCAATTTGTCAAGACCCACGTCACCGGGATGATAATAACCAACAACGTTAAGGAAACTGAAATAAAACCCAAAGAATACAAAGGGGGTAGGAAAAGTGCAAACAAAAAGTGGCAAGCATAAAGTACTATCACAGAATCAGTATTGCAGAAGGACAGTGAACCAAAATATCAGCAAGGCTAGGAGCACCAAAAATCTAGACCGAAGCCCGGAAACCAGGCTCAGAGATGGGGGCGAAAAAATCTAAAACCGCAGGGTAGAGATCATTTACTCGGTTCACCCATGGCGATGAAAAGACTGAGCAGGACAGCAACGAATATGCCACGGATGTAATTACATGATGAGTCCAGGCACCTTGTCTCACTTCTATGGTACCAGCTAACGGCGAATCTCTCCGATGCTACTCGGAGAGGCGAGATGTCAACTTCACGTATGGGTTCAAGCAAGTCAGTGGACTTGGATGACAGAGTAAGCGTGTATAACAACTGCTTTTAGAATGTTTCACATAAGTTCACGAAGTGAAATGATCATCCAATTTTTCGGATATAATTTCACTCACTGAAATCCACCTCTGAGTCTGGGTGCCCCTGGACGAGCTGGAGGACTAATCGGATGCTCCCAAAGGCACAACCTAATCGAACGGTCACAGGTGCTGAAAATGACTATTGGGTGATTTTATAACTCATATTTCCAGCAAGATAGTCGGAGAAAACACTCTCGATTCAGATGCTTCGTTAGGTGATTAAATGGATGTTGGAATGTAGATGCACACGGCAGCACTTCAATGGTACCGACTGCCGTCAACGAAGTAAGGGATTGTAGAAGTGAGATAAGAAATAGGAATGAAGGAAAATTTAAGAGAAACGAAATGGAAAAGAACGCATCAGCAGTATCGAGCTTTCGCACATCCGCCCAGCTGTATGCAACAGATAAGGCTACTCTTTTAAAGCTGCGTGACAGCCGATGCAGGATGTGGTGTAAGTTTGATCTTTGAATAATTTGGTCTGCACGACCCAGTATAATGCAAACAATCGAAGAGGTATCCAAACCATTGCAGCCCTTCAAGGTACAGCCTGATCGGAACGTGGACTTCAAAAATGTCTGAGCAACTCCGCCATCGACCTGTAGGTAAGATAAGGGACGTGCAACTGAAAAGCCGTATGCGCCAGAACGCAATTTTACGACTGGACCAGTATTCCCTACTTGACAGATTTTTCCATTATATTAAGCACTAGATATTTATGAATTGACTGATGGGACAAATCGATGTTTCTTTTTAAGACCGCATAAACTTTACCAAGTTTGTGCGAACAACGGTAGATGTCGCTGCTGGAAATAAGTATGCAAGTTACGGCCGAAAATTCGCTACTGTTATCGGCCTCAATCAGCCACCGTTCTACGTACAAAAACAGTTGATGGTAGAGTGAAGCAAACCAATCGGCCACCCGTTGATCACTAACGCGAATTTGTAACAAGTCTATTATGCGCTGCATGTATGTGATTGGTGAAAGTGTAGTAAATGATGGCCCGGAAAAAGGGCACATACATAGTGTCACTACTCACCGACAGGGTAGGATACGAACCACATCGGATGCGCGATAGAGTTCAATGCATATGGCACACTGGTCACAGCCACTGATCACCTCTTTGTCGGTTGGAAGCAAAGTACGCAAAGTAAGTTTCTTCAAAGCCTTCCGCGTGGCAACCTTCAGGCGGTGCTGATCAAATGAAAGGGTCAAATTGGGCCAAAGATAATACATCTGACATCAGTAACAACGTGTGGTCAAAAGGTTGTAAAGAAAGGCCGCCGTGGGCATAATTAGAGGATCTAAAGAGCCGTTGAAGTGACTGCCAGTGCAAGTTCAATCACGATATTTTCGGCTGAAGAGAGATTTCATAACGACCAGTCGGCGAAGGGAATCGGTCGCAAACAGATAACAACGAGGGTCGAACAAGCTCACTGTGAACTGTGAAACCGGTCCGTGACCGAAAGAACAAGGCGTCTGCTTTGCAATTTGAACGTCGGGGGTTCGAGCCTACGTAGGGGACCAGGCGACCCCAGCAATATCTTTAGTGCTCGCGCGGCTGGTGGAGGTTGCGTGGCAGGAAAGTGTCAGCATGGCGTACCAGTGTACTGCTGAAGCCCATTTTTACCACGGAAGATGCATGAAGAGTGATCAAATTTTGCAAAGCAAGAAACAATCCTTAGAAGCAATTACAGTGATTGATTACGTACACTTTGGCTGCTACTACGGAATGCTGGTCTACATTGCGCTCGAGCACCAACCGTTCTGAACTGCCTATCTAACTAGTGACGGCGATGCTGCTTGTTTACGCCTTTTGCTAGAGCGGCACTTGCAGTTAGTAGTTGGGTCGACCACGACCAGTCGCGCCTAGGCAAGACATACTGCGAGGTCGCCCACCCCCAGGCGGATTCGCATCAGAGGGTTACAAGGCAGACACGCCTCATTCCTTCCTCCAGTGGATAGTGTTCTCATTCCTCTCTTCGTGGAACCGACTGTGTTTATTACATTCGGTACACAGTGCCCCGTACATGTGCCACTGTGAGCATCGATAACAAACGTGGACAAAGTGTACAATGCCGCCATCAGGATGATTTTAGTGTAGGGATCAGAAACATAGGCACACCGTACTGAACACCGAGAAATTGATCGGTTTTTATTACCGGTTGATATATAGAGTAATGTACACGTCTGGTGATAACACCGGGAGGGGAATACTGAAGTTCGTCAGAGGGTGCTTAGAAAATAACACTCTGGGATCGTTCTGGAGTGTCTGCTAAAGTTAGATCGCTTCACTGATTAGGTATGTCTTTCGAAATGCTTGTTGATCACCTTCTTTGGTGCACATTTTACATGCTGTCGCTGATTTATTTAGGTGAAACAGTAAGGTGACCGGTTGATTAGTTGCTCTACGGGGAATGAGGAAATTGGCTTGTGGACTTGGTCAGGCTAGTGCGTGCCGTTTTCGTGGATGGAAGCTTCTATATGGGCCACATCGATGGTCGTAGATATTGTCTGGTGTGACTCAATGGAGAGATGAATGGCGCTCCTGCATTCGGTTTTTGAATTTAGCTGCCGATTAATTTCACGAATTTTCCCCACCCCCGCTTTGTATTCTACTTGCGTTATACCTCGGTTTCCTCACAATTGTTAATCATCGTAATCCTGGTAACGCGAGTCGAGACAACTGGAGCTATCGCAATTTGGTGCATGGATCATAGTTATTTAACTTGGACTGATCTTCCCATTTCGTCTATTTCTTATGGTATTCCATCCCAAATCGCATTCACACAATCCTCAGGGCTAAAGTTTCTTGCCTGGATGGGGCTGGGATATACAGTGTTGGGGCACGAAATGTAGACGGTAAAAGAAAGTTACGATTGGGGTTCGATGTTGTGAGTTAGACGTGATGAGGAGGTGGGAAAGCGAGAGGTGAAAGAACGAATGGAGCACGTACGGAAGATCGTCGCATTCGGTGCGCCCGATGAATACGCTGGCCGACGTAGCCAAGCAGCCCGAGAGTGCTTGTCAGAACGAACAGGAGCAGACAAGTGAGTAGAACGTAGAACATCACAGTGGCCACGTGTCTCGCATTGGTAGCCGCACTCTCTAAAGTTGCCTGAATGGAAGGTGATGGAGTGTGCAAGGTCTCGTGAATGGAGGAATTGGGAAAGAAACGCACATGTATGCGCTGGCCAGTGCTGAGCCAAGTGCGCAAGCGGTCAGGAATTAAATTCAACGATAATTCCACACGGCTGATCCGAAACGAGTCTGAAAAACGGAAAGAAAGTGGAGGTTATGAAGCTAAGACACGTCTTTCGGTTCTGGCAAAGTGGTGATTACAAAAATGTCTCACAGGACAGATGAGCAGTGTGAATGTGAGTGGGTTGCCACAACAATATAGTGGTTACGTGATGGAACCTTTAGCTATCAAGAGAGCTGAAAACCGAAGTCCAATAGGTAGTCGCCGAAACCAATACCACCACTATGGCAACGAGCAATGTAGAAAGGCGGAGGAACATGGAAAAAGTCAACCAAATGAATATAAGGATGAATAGAATTGTAGGATTGAATGACCTAAATCGAAATGGCGAAGTGAATACACAAAGCCATTGATTAAACGGAAGCATCATATAGGAGATATTTAAAAATTAATAGCGCGAAAGTTGAGGAGGCTAATGTCAATACAACAGGGTGAGATAGTGGCGATCAAAGCAGCTCCCATTTGTCCGTTTCACCATCTTGCACCTGGCTGGAGATCTTGAGGGACATGGCTTGCAGTCCGCACCAGTGGCACGATTGTCGTCGTTTCCACAACGGTAAACTACCTGTTGCCTCATGCTAAGGTTTATGTTGCATTCATGATGCGTCTTCACCGCAGTTGGGCTCAACTAACCTATACTTAAACTAGATCATTTTAATCTGGATAAAAGCCATTCCTCGTTATTTGGTTTGTTCAATTCTGTTATTCTGCTGCATATTCGGTGTCAATTTTGTGTATATACATCCGTTTAAATTCTATGTTGGTTGTTTGATATCTCCGGTGTGAATGCGTTTGTTGTGAATGTTTGCAAGGTGCCTACTTGTTTAACATCCTCCATCTCGGTTAATGGCTCCAGACTGTGAATCGTTGCTGGAGGGGGCAACGGGGTGCAGGATCCTCGTGGCCGTGTGGATCGTACTAAGGCCCAGCCACCGCCTTGTGTATGTCTGGTACGCATGATTCCCAACATAGATAGACAGGAATGTCGCTGCTGTGTATGTTGAAGGAGTGTGGACCGGCTCCGTAAATGAAACGTGGCTCCCACCTACATGCATCCCGGTTTTATTCCTTCGGGTGTTGACGAAGCTGTGAGTGATGCGGCGCAAGCCATCCATTGTCCCTCTGTAGGCGCAGGCCGCAATGACAGGCAAATTCGGAACCGGATGCCGCCAATCTTTACATATATATATATATATATATATATATATATATATATATATATATATATATCTTTGGTTGACGGCCACAGGACGCCTGCGCCTACAGAGGGACCATAGATGGCTTGCGCTGCACCACCCACACACCCCATATCCAGTGCAAACCCGAAGGAATAAGACCGGGAGGCATGCGGATGGGAGCCACGTTTCATCAACGGAGCCGGCCAACATTCCTTCACATGCAAACACAATCACGCTGTATTTGAAGAATCAAGTACAAATAAGGCGGTGGCTGGACCGTAGTCCACTCCACACTGGAGTGGAACCACTGTTCGAGCCTAGCACGACCACAAGGACCGTGCAGCCCGTCCCCTCCAGCAACGACCAACTGTCTCCTGGAGCCAGATGGACGAGGTAATGAGTAATAGACAGGTAGGCACCTTGTCAACATGCACATGAAGCACAGCCACAACTGGGATGTCAAACAACAGCCAATCATTCGAAATGCCGATATGGAATAAAGTAAACGCATATCACGACATAAATAGTCGCCAATTGAGCATATGGAAGAAATTGGTTATAAGTGAATACGCAATAAGTACAGAACGTTCGAAAGTTATTTAAAAAACACCACGCGATAAAATTACGCAAGCTTACCACAATTTGCATGAGCGACGTGTGCAAGTTAGGAGAAGATTATCAAGTACGCAGAACAAACCAAATAAAGTGGAATGAATTTTATCCACATTATAAAGACCTAGTTTAAGTGTAAGTTGGTTTAGCTCAACTGCGGTAAAGAAGCATCATAAATGCAACATCAGCCTCAGCATGGAGCATATATATATATATATATATATATATATATATATATATATATATATATGACAATGGTAGCTCACATTATGAGCTCAGTGATACTGTGAGTCAGACATTTTTAAATGCTGGATAAAATCATGAAGGGGAAATATGCTCTGTTTAATATTTTCAATCATATTCCTAAGGAGCTGTACAGGATTGTATTTCTAATTATCCTCACAATACAGAATTTTCGGTATATAATTGTCATCATGGTTGCGCGCCAGTGTAGCATTGGTTCAAATGACACGTGTCATGATGGCCCTCCGTGCATCAGAAAACCAGTCTTGGCCACGAGGAACGCCCATGCTCATTTTATACCTCCCATCAATTAGAACCACTAACAAATTGGCTCACTTCATCCGATCGATACTCAAGTGGGAATTATTTGAGTACTGTTATCGTCAGTCCAGACCAATGCACCAATTGCTGTCATCGATTTGGATCTGCCGAGGTGTAGGCAAAATGTCGAGCTGTTGATGATGAGACGACGTGGTTGAACTAGTGATCCACTGCCCTGAACACAATAAGCATAAACAACGACCTTTCGGAAAACTCTTCGCAGTTATATGAGTTGGCCACACTGTATTCAATATCTTGGAATAAACCTGGAACCGACTGAGATAATATAACTTCCAAAGTTTTAGAATACAAACCGGTTTTATATAGGCTTGTATATGGACAAGCCTATAGAAATCCGATTTGTATTCTAAAGCTTGGGGAGTTAAGGTCACGCTGTAGTTCCACCAGGCGATGCATGATCTTAGCTAGTAACGCAACCCGAAATATAGGCCAAAAGGAGAGTTTGACGAAGACGGACGGATTGAATTAATTCCGTCGTTGCCAATGTTATCATAGTCGGTTGAGGATTTGATTCACCTTTGAGATAATGTACGAAAATCGCCTCTTGTTTAATTCGGACAAGAGCAGGAACACTTTCAGAAAAAGTACCAAGGCTTAAGAAAAAAGAAAATACATCGTGCTGGCTGGCGAGTACGACTCAACCGCTGTCCCGTTAAAAAGGCATAAATTCCTTTGATGCTATTCACTTCTCGGGGAAATCAATGATCTATCAAACATTTTACAGCGAAACTAATTCATAAATGCAGGTATAGTGATGCTTCAGATAACTTGGTTGCATTTGGACATTGATGATGGAGTCCGTAATCTCAATGGTTACCAGCAAATTAGATCCGATCGCTTAGGAAACCCCAAACATCGAGAAGACAGCATCACTTACATTAACAAAGATCGGTGCAAATCCGTTTCGAAACTCTCGGAGTACTCAACGACTTCAGTTAGCTGCCACCTACTGGAGTGTAAACCAGTTTTTGTACGGTTTTCTAACCCTCGTAGTTGGGAGCATGTATGTAGCTTTGGACACAGCGCTATCCGAGTTGCAAAAGTCTACAGATCACTTTACTTGCTTAAGGAGGATCACTCGTGTTTGGTGGCAACATCGAGTAAATAGTAATGACGTTCGACGTCGCATCATGGGGAATGCGAGTATTCCCTTCAACAAACTGGTTTTGTTGCGGCAGTTGAGATGGCTCGGTCACGTCCTTCGCATAGCACCTGAGTGTCTACCGCGTCGCGCTCTATTCGCTCGTCAAGGACTTGGCTGGAGGCGACCGCGTGATGGTCAGCCTTCCACTTGGCCGCAGAACAGGAAATCGCTGACGTCGTGTCTAGCCGCTGTTGGATCCGTACGTCTTTCAGGATGGGGACCCAAAGATGAGGAGTGCCAATGGATTAGCACTCTTGAAGATATGGCCCGCAACCGGAATCAATGGAAGAATTGTGTACAGTGTTGTGTTGATTCACATGTTTAATACTACAAACATTGAAAATGACAAAAAAGAACAAAAGCGGCGTATGAAAAACCAACTAAAAATGTTTTGTTCTACTTTTTATCGAAATCTTCCATTCTTCCTGCGGCATATTAGTTGAAGTGTGTTGCTCACCTTCAACTAGCATGCCACGATGATTATGACGCCTTGAATCTTGCTTATCTGTCGATCTCCATGGTTTTATACTGGCTCTGTGTCTAGTTAATAGACTGCTGAGAATACGTACATACATACCTTGAAGTAGCAACAAAAAGTAGAATGTTCCATCCGTGATCTCACCAAAGATTTTAATATTAGTGACACAATTTGCATTATCACCATGGGTTTAGCCAATTTGTTGAAATTCCCTACCAGACTCGAGGCGCATATAGATTTAGTTGTTACTAACAAAGTTGAACTATTTCACACACTATTTTATACAATTCCGAGCACTTCATAGTAAAGCTATGCCCCAAGCTACACAGTAAAGCGAACTATGTAGTGCAGATCAAAAAACCATCCAGAACTGTTAAATGACGGAACTGCTCAGCAAATGACACCGAAAAACTAAATCAGTGCTGTCTGTAACTGATTTTTCAATTTTCAAAAAGGATGATTTGTCAGAGCAATGCGAGCACCTCACAGACTAGGTAAACTTCTGCTTCGATCTATGTTGTCCCGTTGAGACAATTTATTTGTGAAATGACAGATTTTCATCTCCGTTGCTCAAGCAACTGGGAATGGAAAGGCTCATAAACAGGCTTATAAACATGGACTAACTATCCGTGTTAAATGTCTGACCATCGCTATAAAAGCAGAAATAAAACGGTTAAAGATTCTTTACATTCAGACCGTTTTAGCCAACAAAAATTGCCGTGATCTATGGAGGCTTCTAGGACAACCCTCCGGAAAGAATTCTTTCACTCACTCACTCATCAATGAGGATGTAGATGAACTCAACGTTGAGGTCAGCTCCTCACCACCTAACCCCCCCACACACACTGCCTTCTTCCACCACTACTGACAATCCTACTTTATCTGCTTCCTCAAACATTTAAAAGGAGCTCAGAAGGCTGAGGCGAAACAAAGCTAGTGGACCGGATGCTCTATCAACAGTCGCTCTGAAGGAATGCGCAGAGGTTGTAACAACTCCTGTGACAGAAGTCT